AAAAGAAAATATAAATATATGTGTACACGCTAAGGCACCTCACTGTTGTGAATAATTGGTTACAGACATTTTAGTAAGCTTCCTGAACTCAACGCTGAGCTGTTTCAAGCCTTCTAAGTGCCAGCTACCATGTGGCAAATCACACAAGCTATCTGTTCACAGACTTTGGATAAAATCCCAGTCCCACATCTAACTCGCTGTGTGATTTTGAGCTCTTAACCTTGAGCTTATCATGACTTAGCCTTATGATTCCCTGATCTATAAAGATAAGTAGTATCTACCATATGGAATTTGCGTGGAGATTTAAATGAGCTCATATTTCACACATAATCAGTGCTCCATAAATAAATATCAGTAACCCTTTCCTTCTCCCCAGCTCCTCCCAGCTGCTGTCAGCTACAGTCCTCAAAGGTCCAGAAGGAGGTGATTAATGACTTCATTTGAGGGGACACAACAAACCGATAGAAAATTTCCTCCCCTGAAATCCAGTGATCTGCTTTTGTTAAAAACAGTGCATAGACGTATCTAAGGAGATTAAATTGCAATTGTTAAGAGAAATATATCAACATATCTCATGGAAGAAACTATGCCTTCTTATGATCTGCTTTTGTTAAAAACAGTGCATAGACGTATCTAAGGAGGTTAAATTGCAATTGTTAAGAGAAATATATCAACATATCTCATGGAAGAAACTATGCCTTCTTCCCCTAGGTTTGAACACCATTGTTACAAAACCTGTCCTGAGAAGACCTACAGGGAAGGACTGGAATGCAAAGCATGTGCTGCTAACTGTGGCAGCTGTGACCAGAATGAGTGCTACTGGTGTGAGGACGGTTTCTTTCTCCTGGGTAAGCCAGCAAATGGCATCGTGCACAGTGACAACAGGCTCCGGAGCTCCGCCCAGGCAGTATAACGTGATTGGTTTCAGTCTTCCTGTGCTGGTGCCTCTGGGCCAAGGAGGAATTTTAATTTGGTTTGAAAATAAACATTAGCCAGGACTACTTCCTTCTGCTTTATTACTGAAGCATAGTTCATATTTCACTAATTAACTTCAAATATCTCCAAGCTGATGGAAACAAGAGTGAGTTGGGTGGGGAAAGGGGAAGGGGACAGATGAGGGGACCTGAAGATAAATATTTTGGAATTGAAGTCACCTGGAGTATTCAAACCATGACCCTTTTCTTGAGACCTAATCCATGTTATATACTCCTGGGCACTGTTAAGAGTTGAACAGGATCCTTGTCTTTTGTTTCAGTCAACTCATTGACTTCGATAGAAATAGATAGTTAGGAAAGAAATATACTGTGTGTCTTCCAATGGAAGAACTAATCGCCCAGTGCTCTTGAATGTTTGTGGGAGAGAGAGTAAGCAGACAGCCCACAATGGTCGCCAACACTTCTCTACAGCTCAAGGCTTCAAGCGTTTCTACTCAATTCTCTGAACCCTTTAAACTGATGGTCAGTTTAAACTCTCAGTTGAAAGAGGACTTAGATAAAGTGTTGGATTTGTTAAAACATATTGCTTGGTTAAAATAAGCGAAAGCCATCTTGATTGCTCTAAAAACAAACATGAACAAAAATGTTCCTAAGATTTCTTTCGGCTTCTTTAGAACTTGGCCTTGCACAGAGCTCCAAGCTGGGCCTGCCAGATTTCTGCCTTCACGATTCCTCCTCATGCTCTTCCGTAGATGGCAGCTGTGTGAGGAAATGTGGCCCTGGCTACTATGGTGACCAAGACACAGGAGAATGTGAGCCCTGCCACCGCACCTGCAAATCCTGCACCGGCCTTGGCCACGACAAGTGCAGCAGCTGCCGAGGAGGACTGCAGCTGCTGCAGGGGACATGTGTTCATCCTGCCCAGACCCAGGTGGGCGGCACATTCTGGAATGGTATGTGCCTCCCCAAGAGATGGCAGCAGTCTAGCTGCCTCCTCTGCCTCCCTCCCTCTTTAACTCTTGTTTTTGAGGGAGAATCGAGTTTGGGCTGGGGTCTCCCTGATGCTTGCAGCAGGAGAGGGTAGGACACTGTGGTTGGCATTTGGCCAGCATGGGGAGCCCAATGGGCAATTTGTGACTGGTCTGGCCACTCGAGTTTCTACATGGGTGAGATAGGCCCGCCGGGAGCACGTAAAGACAGTCATGTAGGGAAATGGCCCAAGGACCCTTTTCTCAAAAATTTCTGAATACCTTCAATCACATGCATGTGTGTCTACTTGTTCTGATAAAGACAAACTTTACCTGTAGGATAGGCTCTCCCAGTTAGACAAAGAACTGCTCTAACATATTGCAATTTATGCTAAAACAGATGATCTTTCTGGCTGAATTATTAGAACTTGCCATCATTCAAGCTTGCCATTTAATAGTTGCCCTCCCCGGTTGTAAATGGGGAAAGTGAGGGGCTTGCTAGAGGACAGGAGGGAGGAAAAGTGTGGGAGCTTGGACTCTAACAGTAAAGACCTGCAGGTATTCCCCCCCCCCCCCCCCCCCGCTTTCCCAGTTAGACAAAGAACTGCTCTAACATATTGCAATTTATGCTAAAACAGATGATCTTTCTGGCTGAATTATTAGAACTTGCCATCATTCAAGCTTGCCATTTAATAGTTGCCCTCCCCGGTTGTAAATGGGGAAAGTGAGGGGCTTGCTAGAGGACAGGAGGGAGGAAAAGTGTGGGAGCTTGGACTCTAACAGTAAAGACCTGCAGGTATTCCCCCCCCCCCACCGCCCCCGAGTCTTTAGAATTGTCCTCCTTACATTGGTTCCTCGGTTCTAGGCTTCTTTGCAAGGTAATTACAAATTTTCATTGACTTCTCCATGGCTGAGGTGGTTAAAAAACAAAATCGTCTTCCTGCTGGGAAAATCTGAGTCACATTCTAGGCAGAGACACTCGTGAAAACAAGAGATGCTCTTCTCTTGATTTTGAGGCAAGAATTTGTTAAAAAGTCATTTCTGTGCAGAGGCATCAGCAGCTAAAAGGAGGTGTGCACGGGATGAATCTTCCTAGGGTCTGAGAGAGTGATGGATCTGGGACAGGAAACAAGTCTCCCGCTGGGTTTGAGAGGAAGGCTGTCCATGCTTCTGTCTACTATGATAGTTTTGCACATGTGACTTAAAGGAAGAGCAGCCAGGAGACCATCATCAGTCCGGCAGCCACAGGCCACGGAGAACACAGGACCTATTTCAGAGACATAGATGGGGAGAAAATTATTCAGTCCAGATTGGGATATCTTCCGTGAATTACAGCTGAACCAAAATGCTAAAAACGAGTTTGTCTGGCATTCAGGCATTTAAGAGGCAGTGCAAGCCAAGAAGAAAATGGTCTGGTGCTGTGTTTCTAGCTAGGAACATCTGCATTTTATCTGGCGTCCAGATGATGAAAAGGTCCAGGGAGCCAAGAGTCAGAGCAGACTTGATTCCCCAAAGGATTACACGTCCCTTCAACTGGACTACGCATTTTGCAAGCAGAAATCGGGCTTTGATTGTTCGCCTTTATCGCAGCACCACACCCACCCCCTGCATTTTCTACGATCACATTGCAATGTTTTTGAAGAGAGGGAAGGATTTAGTCCATTGGGGGGCTTTGCACTAACAAGGGATTCAGGAAGCAGATGAGAATGTTTCTCATGGCTGGACAAAAGCAATAAAGTCAATGACATCCACTGCACTTTTCCATTTCTATGACCTATGAAATAAGACATGCAGAACATTAACAAAGAGGAAAAAAAACACTTATTCACTAAGCAAGGTGAGGCCAAAGCTCAGCTTCCCCAGCACAGTCGAAGCACTGAAATGAGAGCAATCGAGAACTTCATTCCATAAAGCCCCGGGAGTGTGTGAGCTGAGGCCTACATCGTTCTCCTGACTACTTTTCCTTAAAAAACAAGGTCGAGAGTGTAATAGGAGAATGGAAGTTTCCAGAGAGCAGCACTAATTAGCCACACCTTTAAGATGATGGAAAGCAGATTGCAGTCATCCTGGGTCAATTTAGAGGAAGCCCAGACAAATTACAGCATGTTTATGAGAGAATGTAGCTGCCTAGGTGGTACCAGCAAGGTTTTTGGTTTTTGTGTTTTGTTTTTGTTCTTTTTTCAACACAGATTCAGATTCAGGTAGGAAAAGTAAGATGACACCAACTTCTGTCCGTTCCTTCACCCACACCACTCCCCCGTGGGAACAATGAGATCACGTTTGCATCCAAAGACTGCAACTGACCCTGTGGGGGCACAGGTCAGCATGTGCTGGGAAAATACCAGCTAGAAATAAAAATCCAACTAGTGTCTCCTGAACTCCTCCTTAATGAAGTGTTTAATCTGGATGATAGTGGCAATACTGAGAGAGCCATCATTCTTTGCCAACTGCCAACAGAGTGGCAATACCTCCTACATCGCCAAAGGATGGAGATTCCTCCACAGATCAGGCCATGCCTGGCAAATCCTCCAGCCAAGACTGAGTAATCTCCAAAGAGGGCTACTCAGCAATCTGTTCTTCCAGCCACCCAAAAATCACTGCACAAATGAATATACCATCCCCAGACCTTCTGTCCTGGTCACTAATATACTGTGAAGAATACTTAGTCCAATGTCCCTAAATGGCAGGACTAAATCCAATATTAAACAGACCACAGATGACTTTGTCAGTGATTCAACCATCACACAAAGCCACCATTGGTGGAAATGTTCAGGTACGGCAGACCATGGACTTTGAAAAAGATGATGGCTTCAGCTGATTTCCTGAAGCCATTGTTGGGGATGGAAACGGTTTCCTCTGTTACTGGTAGATCATTTGGATTTTCTTAAGTGGTTTCCCCCCTGGTGGTGCTGGTAAGTCCTAGGAATAACTCCTGCACATTTCCCATACCCACCTATTTCCATCATTGATTGAAACCATGTTGCAGCAGGCTCTAATTACATATTCTGATGATAGTCTAATCTACAAAGCACAGACATGGTGAATTAACTTTTCATCTTTGACCACATCCTAACAATTTATCACTAGCTTGTCTTTTGATCTTAATTCCTACGCTCGTGGAAAGACTGGAATCCCAGAGTCAGTCACAAACACTGAAAGCCATTCACATGTGGGGAAAAAAAAAAAAAATCAACCTGAATAGCAGGCAGATGTGCTGTCTAATAGTCACTGAACTTTAGAAAACTTTAAAGATCCCATGGAAATCTGATTTTTAGAAGGACTTCGTAGATATGTACAGTTGCCTCGCTTAACTTAGAAACAAGGACATTATTTTTAGTTAGTTAACCAACCAGAAAACACATGCCACTGGGTAAGTAATTAAATGTTTGGCCCAGTGGTAGGAGGAGCTGCTGTATCAGCTTGCACCGATTGTTAAATATCCAGGAATTTTGTAAGTGGATTGTTAAACCATTGATGGCTTAAAATCAGCTGTGGTGGGAACATTTACCCCATGAAAATTGGAAACGCTACAAATAAAGATTTTTGTTTTTCATTTTTCTAGAAGGCTATTTTACCAGCACACCATTGCTTTGGCCTCTATCAAACTATTTAAAATCCAAATTAATTACTGAAAAGTCTCTCTGGTGGATGTGGGCTTTAGAGTTAGGCATTGCTAAATTCAAACCCCGGCTCTGTTATTTACTAGTTAAATGTGACTTCGAGCAAGTTACTCATCCTCTCTGAGCCTCAGTTTCCCTGTCCATAAAATGAGAACATGCAATTCCCTTACACATACAACATCATTTTGAAAATTAAATGAGAGATGACATATGAAGCTCCCAGAACATATATGACACAATAAAAGTTAGTTTATCTCCTCACACCAATCCAGTATTAACACTTGAAACACTAGTTTACTTTCAAAACAGCGTTTCCTTGCTCATGAAGGAAATCAATTTTGGGGACCTCGAGAGTAATACAGGTCTAGGGAAAATAGCCCCAGAAAGAAGGTAGCAGATAAATGGGCAGTCCAGATATCTAACAGCCAGGCACAGTCCTGATTTAGCCAGGAATATATACTCACAAAGGTGTTGATAGCAGCTTATTTATAATAACAGGAAAAGGAGGAAAACAATCTAAAAATGTAACAAAAGACAAAAATTAAGTGAATTATGGTTTACATAATAAATATGCAAACCATTAAAAATGATGTTTGCAGAGAAGTTTAACAACAAGAGAAAATGCCTATAAGATTTATAACGTTAAATGCAACGTGCAGAGTCAGCATTATCTATGCAGAGATGTAAATGATTACACATCTCTACATATATGTAATTATACTCGCATATTGGATATCAAGATGGGAAATTTATGTACCAAAGTACCCACAGCAGACATTCCTGGGTGGTGGGATTATAGGTGAAGTTTATCTTTATCCTTTTTGCATTAAAAAAGTAAAACACTTTATTTTTTTTAATAAAAAAGAAGCTGTGCCCACTGCAAACCCATCTTTGGTGACGAGCCTGCTGCAGGAGCGACGAAGGTGGAAGGTTCAAATCAAAAGAGGTAACAGGGAAATAGGGAGGAGAGATCACCATGGCAGAGCTAGTCTCTGCTGAGCAGAAACCAGCCTGAGAAACTGGCAGGCGAGGAGCAAGTGGGGAGGGACACAGAAGTCGTAAGAGAAATGTAGAGCGGAGGGACCGTGAACATGGGTTATCCCCAATGCTCAAAGGGGAAAAACTGTGAAGCAAATTCAGCAAGGGAGATTTCTGAAACATATGAGAATACTTCAAACAGTTGTGGAAAAACAGAATTAAAGATAATATGAGTCTTTCCATGGACTGTCTGAAGTGCCCTAGTATAATGACATTCCCGACGTGCTAAGTGGTGACACTGGGAAGAGGCTGTTCAGAAAAGCTTCTGTCCTGGCAGATCTATGAAGCCTAAAGAAGCACCTTTTGACTTCCCAGTCACTGCAGCATTATTTGAAATAGCAAAGATTAAAAAAAACCAAACAACCCACAACTAAATGGTACCAGTAGGAGACTAGAGAAATGAAGTACGTTACATCCTTACAGTGGAATATTATCAAGCCATCAAAAAGAATGAATATGTTTGGTTTTTAAAAACAAGGTGGGGGCTGGCCTGTGGCTCAGTCGGGAGAGTGTGGTGCTGATAACACCAAGGCCACGGGTTCGGATCCCATATAGGAATGGCCTGTTGGTTCACTGGCTGAGCATGATGCTGATGACACCAAGTGAAGGGTTAAGATCCCCTTACCGGTCATCTTTTTTTAAAAAAAAAAAAAACAAAGTGGTAAACTGTGAGTAAAGACAATCTATATTTCAAAGGGTGGAGGGTGGAGAAGGGATTGGGAGGGAGACAACACAGTATGTGCCTTTTCTTTATTCCATTTGGAACCATGGGAGTATTATTTATTTAATAAATACATTAAATGAAAAGAACCTCTTGATTTACATAGTTAGCTGTAGTCATTTCTGAAGGATGAACACCACACTTTCTTGGTCAGAGTGATCTTTTTTTTTTGAGTCCCTGTCCAGTCTGGAATTTTTGGAGTGGCGGAAAAAAGAGAGAAACTTTGATCAAGGTCAAAATTCACTTGTTGAGATTGTCACTAATCTTCTGTGATGGAAAACTCCGGCAGGGGATGACTTTCTCTGCGGCCCACGCCTAATTGCGAAGTTAACTGCTTGTACAGAGTCCCCTCTGGTGGACAGATGGGTCCATTACAGAATTTTATATCAAGTGTGTGCAATAAAATATCAAATTATCAGAATGTGATATACATCATTATAAACACACGTGTATGTGTATATATATATATAAATTTTATACAAATTCGAGAAAATGAATGAAAATTCATATATTTGCCTGGTACTGAGTGGTGCATCATTAATGTTAAATATTAAAATAAGTGTCAACATTCTAACAATAATACCAGTAGTACCTAACAATATTCATATCATTAATATAAATTTGTATTATAATTTTTTTTTAAATTGAAGGTTTTAAATTGAACTTTTATTAAGTGAGGAATGGGTATATAATGTACATGAGAGGGAGACATAAAAAAAATGACAAGAAAACAGTAGGAAAAGATATACCAGGCAAATGCCAATGGAAAGAAAAGTGAGGTCATGACGATAGTTGCAGATAGGATTGAATTTCAGGTAGAAAGTATAAAACAAGACAAAGAAGAAAATTTTGTGATGGTAAAGGAAACAATCTAGAGAAAAGATATACCTTTCATAAATTTTAAAGCACTAAATAATGTCAGAATAATAACACATAAAGAAAAACTGCAGAACTACAAGGAGAAATGATAAGAAACGAAATAGTAGCAGACTTTCACTTCATGGATCAAGCAGTCAGAAGTTAGTAAGGATATAAAGTGTTTGAACAATGAAGTCAACGGGGTTGATTTTTTTAAAAAAAAAAAAAACAAAGTGGTAAACTGTGAGTAAAGACAATCTATATTTCAAAGGGTGGAGGGTGGAGAAGGGATTGGGAGGGAGACAACACAGTATGTGCCTTTTCTTTTTTCCATTTGGAACCATGGGAGTATTATTTATTTAATAAATACATTAAATGAAAAGAACCTCTTGATTTACATAGTTAGCTGTAGTCATTTCTGAAGGATGAACACCACACTTTCTTGGTCAGAGTGACCTTTTTTTTTTGAGTCCCTGTCCAGTCTGGAATTTTTGGAGTGGCGGAAAAAAGAGAGAAACTTTGATCAAGGTCAAAATTCACTTGTTGAGATTGTCACTAATCTTCTGTGATGGAAAACTCCGGCAGGGGATGACTTTCTCTGCGGCCCACGCCTAATTGCGAAGTTAACTGCTTGTACAGAGTCCCCTCTGGTGGACAGATGGGTCCATTACAGAATTTTATATCAAGTGTGTGCAATAAAATATCAAATTATCAGAATGTGATATACATCATTATAAACACACGTGTATGTGTATATATATATATAAATTTTATACAAATTCGAGAAAATGAATGAAAATTCATATATTCGTAAATATAACATTTTAGTATAAAAATAATAACATCAAAAGAAAATCAGGGCTAGCCAGTTTGCTCACTTGGTTAGAGCATGGTACTGACAACGTCAAGGTCGAGGGTTCAGATCCCCATACTGGCCAGCTGTCAAAAAAAAAAAAAAAAGAGAAAGAAAGAAAATCAGCCAGTGGCCTGGGCATATAACATTAAAAATTTTCAAGGTGCTTTCTGTCTGATGAATACCACCGTGTTGTCATTCTTTGAGTAACCACCCTCAGCCATTCAGTAAGCATCTTGACTGATATTAGCAACAACATTGTTGCTTGTCTTTCTGCTACCTTCTCTTTAGGGTTAAGTGAGATTTTCAGGTTAAAAAGGTCTTGGGCCGGCCCAGTGGCACACTGCTACAGTGCACCGCTTGGGAGCGCCGTGGCGCTCCCGCCGAGGGTTCGGATCCCACATACAGACCGGCCGCTCACTGGCTGAGCGAGGGGTGGGCGCAGCACCGAGGGTTGCGATCCCGTTGCCGGTCCCGGTCTGGTACAGGAGCGACACTGAGGGTTGCGATCCGTTGCCGGACACGAAAAAAAAAAAAAAAGAAAAAAAAAAAAAAAAAAGGTCTTCAGGGACAGAATCGGTCATGCTGAGAGGCATGCTGACCACTTGTGACAATCCCATGGCTAATGTGGCTCTGCACAGGCTAATTTAGTTCTTAACAGGTCCCCCAGGGAGAGTAGATCAGTCAATCATCAGCCTTAATGCTGGGATGAAGGAACCAGGATGGCAGCACACTCAAAAACCAGGGCAATTTTTTTTCTCTAAACTAGGAGAAAACCTGCTACCCCACACGGCAGCATGGACAATCCTTTGTACCTATATCTGTATCTTTACCATATCTATATTATATCTACATTATATTGATACCTGATCTATATAGCATATTTACATCTGTGTCATATCTATAGTTATCTCTATCTCTGTCTCTATCGTCTATATTTGAATCTAGTTTCCTCTACAGCAAGGCTCAGCAGCTTTTTAACCGTGAGTGCCATCATAGAAACCAAGCAATGCCACCTGGTACCATTGCACGCATGGAACCAGCAGAGAGGGAGAGGCAGATAAAACAAGCCTCTCAAGGGGGATGGATTGGTGACAGTCGGGAGAAAGACGAAAGGAAGCAGAAGGACCTCCTGGTTACTGAGCCAGTGTGCTAAGCACCTCACACCCATGGTCTCATTTAGTCCTTACAACAGTCCTATAATGGAGGAAGCATTTTCTCTCATTTTAGAGATGTGGAAAGTAGGACTCTGAGAGTTTAATTACTGTATCCATGGTTATGCTGCCCGTAAGTGGCACCGCTGGGACCTGAGCGCAGAGACCGTCTACACCGCACTGACTCTCAGGAAGAGAAGACAGGAAGTGAAAGGCAGGAGAGGAAGGGAGGAAGGACGGGGGAGGAAATAGGGGGCAAAGGTAAGATGCCGACAGTTGACCAGGGGTCAAGCCATTCAAGTCACATGTCCTGAACTAGAAAGTTTTCTAATTTTTCCCTGTGTGAGCCATGCTGACTCCTGAGCAATTCCTGAGCTTTGGTCAAGATCTCAATATGTATTGATTGGGTGATGTCATTGAGGCTGTTCTGTATGTCTTTGAAATTGTCCCATGGAGTTGCTGAGGTGACTTTCTGGAAAGCCTGCCCATCAAACACTCTCAGAGGGAGAGGAAGAGGGAACACTTCTAATGTTTCCTGTGTATTAACCTGGGCTGGACTGCTTAAAACCTGACCATCTGGAAAGCTTGTGGGTGGGTTGATTATTTGAATGTTCAGCAATGATTTGGGACCAATTTAAGGTGAGATGAATTTAGAATGCATGCTACAGTGGCTGCTCTGAAGAACACAGAGACCCAACATTAACTGATAACGAAATCTGCTTTTCAAAGAACTAAAAGCTAAAAACAAAAGGAAGTTTGTTTCTCCATGAGAGACACAATGAATTCTCAGTTCTCACCTTGGAGTGAAGAGAAGGGGTTATCTAAGAATTCTGGGAAAGAGTGGTTAGCTTTGCCTCACAGACTCATTCACGAGTGAACACACACAAACACACGCTCACTCGCACATGTTTTTAACATATGAAAGAAGTAACACTTAGTTCAAATATTCCCATAATATTTAAAGCTATCCTGTAAGACACCACATTCCCTGTCACTGGAAGTTTGCAAAGTAAGTCCTGATCATCAATTGTCAATAAAGGAGTAAGAGAAAAATAAATAAATGAAGCCTACACCATGGCAATGGGTGGGTGCCAACAACTGGCTAATGTAGAATCAAAGGAATTCTATTTTGGGCAGGAAGGGAGACTTGGTTCCCCATGAGATCTTTTCCAACTCTGTGTCATACTGTGAGCCTGTTCAAAGGAGAAATCTGACTTGTTGTTTCTTTCCCATACAGACATTTTGAGAAAATACCAGCCTTGTCATCCTTCTTGTAAAACCTGCAATGGATCTGCAACTCTGTGCACCTCCTGTCCGAAAGGTCAGTGTGGAGTGTGACAGGAGGTGGCAGTGGCCAAGCCAATTCTTTGTAACTCATGTATATTGGAGTCTTCATGTAAGGAGGTTTGCAGAACCTTGATCTAGTCCCACCACCTGTTCTTATCACAGTGGCTACTCTGAGTCACACAGGGACACAAACATTGACCAATAATAAAAACTGGCTTTCAAAGGACAAAAGAAAAAAAGAGAGAGAAGGAAGGAAGGAATGAAGGTTCTTAATCCAAAGGCATGATGAAGTTATAGGTTGACTTGGGCACAGAATTTGCTAGGATATGACATTTTTAGAGATTCCTTTCCTCCTTGAAAATGCATTATTCAAAACAAGAGAACTTAACATAGAGAATATAAGTGGGGATAAAAATCCTGCATGGTGTTTCTTTCTTTATTACTGACACTGAATTTAATGGTGGGGAAAAGGGAAAATAAAGGCCATGGCATACGGCTCAACAAATAATCAATTGCTTCATCATCTGTAGAAACAAAGCATCACGAATAACATAATATCCATACCAGCCGGCCGCCAAAAAATAACGTTAAATTAGAAATAAGTAAATAACGTAATTTCCCTGAATTAGGGGATATTTTATTTACCTGGTGCACTAACATGAAGAATGTTATGCTCGCATTAAAGGGATCAATATAAAGGCCATGTAGGAATGTACAAGGTTAATAGTGAGATATGATACAGAAGCAGAAGAATGTAAAATAATAGGTGTGGGACTGTAAATTACTGCAGCCATTATAGAAAACAGTATGGACGTTCCGCAGACAACTACAGATAGAACTGCCATACGATCCAGCAATCCTATGGCTGGGTATATACCCAAAGGAATAAAAATCATCATATCTAGGGGACACCTGCACTCCCATGTTTATTGCAGCTCTATTTACAGTAGCCAAGAGTTGGAACCAGCATAAATGCCCATCATCAGATAAGAAAATGTGGTATATATACACAATGCAATACTAGTCTGACATAAAAAAGAATGAAATTCTGCCATTCTCAGCAACATGGATGAACTTAGAGAAAATTATGTTAAGTGAAATAAGCCACACACAGAGGGAGAAAGAGAGAGACAGAGAGAGAGAGAGAGAAACAATTACAATAATTTGTTGGCCTTTCAAAAGGAGAGAGCAGAACTGAGCTTACCAGAGGTGGAAAAGGGGGAAGGAGAGGGAGATGAGGGAGAAATTGGTAAAGGACCACAAAAAATGATTACATTGTATAATGTTGAATATACTAATTATCCTGATTTAAGTATCACATATTGCACACAGGTATATTCAATGCTGTACCCCACAGATACATACAATCAGTTATGTTTCAATAAATAAACAAAATAATAGGTGTGCCATGATTATAATCATATAAAACATAAAAGGCTACATCCAAAAAACAAGAGGATTTTCTTGGAATTTTGGGGTTGAGGGTGTTTTTAAAATTGTTTTCTTTAATAATGATATCTGTTTTATTTTCAATTAAACATAAATAGATGGACCATTCAATGAAGAGGGAGGTGGGTGGAAGAGCTGCTGCTATGCTAGTGTCCTAACAAGATGGGCTTTGGGGAGGCAGAAGAATAGACCCCATTGAGCTGTGCATGTACAGCTGCCTTACCCTGGAAGACACAGACTAGGGTATCCGTAGGATTGATCAGCTGGGCGAAGGGAGCCCCCACAGTGACCCGTACCTAATAGTGCTAGGAAAGCAAAGAAACAGTGATGCCCTTTGCTCTGATGCCTATCTTCTCTGGATACTTGGGTCTTTGGAAAGGTTAAGAAAGCTGTTGTGGGTGTCAACTCTCTGCGTGGATGTGTGTGCTGTTAGGACAAACTCGTGATGACTGATCTCATCTGCCCTCTTCCCTGGATTTCAGGTGCATATCTGTTGGCTCAGACCTGTGTCTCCTCCTGTCCCCAAGGCACATGGCCCTCAGTAAGGAGTGGCAGCTGTGAGAACTGTACAGAGGACTGTGCCTCTTGCTCTGGAGCCAGTCTTTGCAAAAAGTGCCAGACTCGGCTGGGCCACTCTCTCTTCCTCCATGGAGGCAGGTGCTACAGCAAGTGCCCTGAGTAAGTTTCCTCCTTCTTGCTTCCTGCTCGTGTTCGTTCTCCTACAGGACTTTGGGGCAATCCCTTCCCATTCAACCAAAATCTCTTCCTGAGACGAGATGGATCAGAGGACCCACATAAATGTCCTGTGATGATTGTCTGACACTGCCATTGCCCACAGCAGCAGAACCACGTAAGCCAGATGCCCTCTTCTCCCATGACTAATACGTGTCTTTTTCCTTTTGTGAAAATATGTTATTTTCCCCATCTTGTATTCATGATCTAGTATTGTCAGCTTTTTTTCTTCACCACCTCTTCTGAAGGTTTAAAGTAGGTAAGGGATGGATTATAAATAATAAATAGATAGCAAT